ATTCCCTGGAACTAAGGGCTATTTGGCAGTAAAAAATGGCCAGTCTCTCATTTAACAGTGTTATTTTAGGACTGAATGGATTACAGTTCTGTGGTGCAGCAGGTTAACACAGAAGGCCTGAGGCTGGGTTTGAATAATATTCCAGATCATAAGTAAAAACCAGGTGTGGATGGCTAGAGATAATAAGTATATCCTGTAACCTATCTCTTGTAATTAGAGAGAAAAACACCTCAAATCAGCTGTACCTGGACTTCTACTGGATACCTTTGTAGTATTAAATAACAGAATGTGCCCACAGAAAATCACTGGAGGGAAAATTCAATATCCACAAAGCAAGGGGGCAAATGCTCTTTGGGATTTCCTGCTCTAAAAACATGCAGCACTGAATTTCCTTTGGGCAGGCACCAGCACTACCCAGAGCAGACTGAGATCCTGTGTTCCAGTGCCTACCTACAGAAGAGTCAATGCATTTGTTTAAAATCTGGTAGGAAGGGAACAAAGAATAACCAACAGTCAAACAGGCAATACCTCAAAGCATATAAAAAACGTCTCCTGTGGCCTTAGAGAAGCCCCAAAAATGCCATGCAGGTATTCCACTGCCCCAGAGGACAGTCATGTCCTTTTATTACAGTGTCTGTATCAATTCAAATGGTTGGTGAAAAGGCTCCTTCGTGTCTGAACATCATGTCTGGGAGCTCTTGCAATCACCAAGCCCCACTTCAGCCTTCTGTGGAAGCTGTAAGTGGACTAGAATGATTCAAAAAATGCCTTGAACTGCCCCCTGCCAAATTTTAAACTCCTCAGTGTAGAAGGATTTGTCTCTGTTTTGGACAGAGGTGGCGAGAGGCAGAGGGTGAGTGTGGGCTGAGCAGACTCAAGCATTACATGTTGATCACTGGATGTTCCCACTAAAAGCACACTTTTTTTTTCCTCAAGGTAATACATCTTTCCATCTCTACCACTCCCTGGAGAAATTTATGACAAATGTGTGTGCTGTCTGTCACTGTCTTACTTTGCAAAAAGCAATTCCTAGAGCAGGAAGAGAAAATCATTTATGATAGAATTTCACACATTTTTCTGGGTGCTTAATGAAGCTTGAACTTGAGTGGAGCAGAGAGGCTGCTTACTGTTGATCTTTTTTCGAGATCACTGCACAACAAACAGGAACTGAATAAGCAATTAAGTTAACTGGCTTTAAAACTCATATTGGCTGAGGATTAAGGTAATTATGTCTGAGCTTACACACATTCATTGCAGCTTCATTTCACTGCAGCGAGTCTCGCCTGTTTGCTTGTTGCTGATGTCATTCTAAAAGTGATCTGAGTTGTTGTCCTTCTATTAATTACCAAAAAGGTTACAAACACAAGTTCTCCTTGCTATAAATGTAGCTATGTTATTTTTATTACATGTTCAAAGGAGAGGCAGACCAGTTTTGCTAAGTTTATATAAACGGATCCAACTATTTCTTCCTGTGTCCTAGAATTTACAATACCTTAGACTTAAGGGATCAATTAAAATAAAGCTGCATTGTCATATGGTGATTTCACTGTCAAAGGAGGAAAAAAAAATATCTATTTTTAAGTCTAGGTTAAAAAAGAGACTCTGGGAAAGCAGCATCAGTCTCCACAATATTACTGGCAGGGCAATGTGGATTCTTCACCTTCTGGGTTAGAAATAAGTTTCCTTTTAAATGGCTGGAATGCAGGGGAGGGGAAAGGAAGGGAACCCCCCACATTCTCCTTGTCTAACAAGGAGCCACAGTGTGAGAACCACTCCCTAGCGGGAGTAATCTGTGATTGACAATGGTTTTCTTTGCAGCCAGGGCTAAAAATGGTTTGGCTGTAAACAGACAAATGCAGGACACTTTAAGGCCCTTTGCAAAAGCAAGGGCTTCTTACACAAGCACTCTACGTTCAGGGTGGCACCAAGTAAGCAGAGTTCCTGAAAAATCAGTGGATTTTCATATAGGGATATGAGCAACGACAGAAAAGAAAAAAAAACCACCTTGTAATGGGCAAATTCACAGAAGGCAGATTCACAAAACCTGGAGGTTCCTTCCCCGGGCAGCCCAGGCATTCACACGTGTGATCTTAGGCAAGCTGCTATATTTGGCTTCACCCTTCCTGCCTAAAAACCGAAAGAGAAATACTTTCCTCTTCCCAGAGAGGATGAATGTGTGTAAGGCATTTGGTATGATGGGGTGGGGGCTCTGCAAACAACCAGAACAAAGTCTGAGACTGATACAATTTCCCTGTAACCTCCAAGTCAGCTCTGAGGTCTACAATGAAAGGACATCAAGGAAATTAGGTGAGGTGGGACAACTTCAGAATTTCACAGGGTGTATGGAGGAGCTTTTTTACTGAAACATGTAAAATTGCCTTGTGCTGAAGTTAATGATGATACAAATAAAGTCATGCAGCAACAGCTTGCTTGTATTTCCCAACATATTGTTTGAAAAATGTTGCTAACGTGAACTATATCTCTGTGGCTTTGCTCTTCACTGATTACTTCCTGTGAATAATGTTCAAAGCCTTATCCAGGGGTTCTGCAGGTTGTAAAAGGGCAAGCTTACCAGCTGTTTCCATGGGCATTTTGCCTGAGGTTAGTAGAATCTGTTCCTTGCTGTTAATATTGAACACATTTGGAGATGAACGTTCTATACACAAGAGGGACCATCTGAACTAAAGAGGACTCAGTCCCCAACAATGCACACTTCTACAGTCCTAAGTGACTATTTTGTAAACATGTTGATTAGTAACGGAAAGAGATCTTTATTTAAAAAAAAAAAAAAAAGAAAAAGAAAACCAGAGGAGTAAGGCAATGTAGACAGAAAGACCATAAATCATAGAAACTCTATTATGAATCAAAACAACAGATGTAACATGAACAACAGCATCTTTTATAAACACAAATTAGACTTTTCTATTTCAAGCACTGGAAAGGCTAATATGCCTAAAATAAATTTCCCTGAATCTCTCATTAATGTTCTATGGTCAGTGTTGACTGGCTGTTAAAAAAAAACCCGTGCATGATTTATATCCCAAAAGAGTCACTAACCCCAAAACACAGTTTTCCGTCAGACCTGTCATTAATAACCACAACCACTTCCCCTAACTATACTCTTTTTGCAGCAGAAGCAGCAAAGTACAGGTGATTCACACATCAGTGATTTCTTGCTCTATATTCACTTCCCTTCTCTATTAGCACTGACTGCATGAGTCACCAATTATCACCTTAAGCACCACGCAGGAACTGAATTATCACAGTGCTCCCTCCACAAAGCAGGCATCACACCACGGCTGCTGTAATCAGTCTCTGGGGCCCAAATACCTCAGATTTCAAACAGGAAACGACTTTGTCCTCCCCTGTGAAGAACCAGCCTTTCTGGGACTGGAAGAACTTGCCCAGCCCCAAAATTCTCTGGGCTTGCACTAATCTGCTACAGCAACAGATAAGCTGCAGTTTACCAATCAGTCAGAGTATCATGTAGAGGCCAGACAGAGTGCCTGCCCTTCCTCATGGACAGTGGGAACAGCAGGATGGCCAGACCATGTTGATACTTCCATGTCTGATCACAGGAGGGACAGAAGAAGACCAGCCACTGCTTTAGTCCTTGCAGGGTATTTGTTGTTCCAAGAGACTCACTCATTCCATAGCCCAGGAACAGGAGGAAACAAAACTCACTGGAACAACATTTACAGAGCTGCTTCCAGATTTCCATTGTCATGATAGAAACCTGCTTGTTTACAGGGAGCTTTCAAAGCCTATCACTACTAACTTTTCTCTTGAGTTTTTCACTGGTGTAATTGCAATTAGTTCAGTGGTGAAACCTCTGACTGACACCACAGTGAGAGCACGTCATGACACGTGAAATTCATGGACCAGAAGGTATTCCTGACTATCTCTAAATACATCAAGAAGTTTCTTTTTAACATTTTGTTCCCCTTTTTAGCAGGTAAAACAAAACCTGACAACTTACCCTTGTCTGACATGGTCCTACCATGTTATTTCTGCTCAACCTGTGCTACTCTGAGCTCTTCCCATCCTGTCCAGCTTGAAATCAACCTTTCCCTGACTCCTTTGTGCCTAATCCCACAGTCAGGGTGGAGAAGCATTCCCAGATGGTGGATGGAAGTACCAATGAAAAGCAATGGAAAAATTTTTGAATGGCATATGTATCTTCAGACCTTGGTTTCTCTTTTGTGGATGAACAAAGAAACTCTAAAATACTAACGCTGTTTTGGACTTCTGCATGTTCAAAACCCCCTGCAAATAATCATGGATTAATAAAATTTTAATTGAATATATCCTGCTTCCTCTTCTCCCTCTGTTGATGCTCATCTTTATAGCCTTTTCCAGTTTTTTTTTTAAAGAGCTCAAATGCTTCAAGCATCATTACTCCAAAGGTACATGGTTAGTACCTGGAAATAGTTGTGCACTTAATTAGTCATAGAATAAATAACATCATATTACTTAGATAACAAATCATGACACGCACAGCAGAGGATATAAGCCACACTTCATTTGAATTCCCACAAAACACCACCATTATCCCCCCACAAACAGTTTCTGCTCTAATTTGTGAGCTCACAAATTAGACTCTTTTTTTTCAGTTTAAACCTTGCAAATGCTCTATTCCAGTTTGTTACTCTAAACAACTCTGGTCTAAGTAAGATAAGCCTCTGTCCCGTTAAGATCATAGCAAATTAGAGGATTTGAACATAAGGCTCTTTGCCTTAGGCTATTCCATGATGCCACTTGGATTTTTACTCTTCAACAGGACACTGGCATTTCTGCTACTAAAAACATTGAAACAAGACATTTCCAGCAATCTTCTAACCCCACCTCAGAAAATGGAAATCTCGTAGGTCTTTCCTAACCCTACTTCCTGTGACAGCATCATTAAAACCTATAGTACAAATGAATTAATTAAAAAAAAAAAAAAATCCACTGGAAGCAACATCCTCATTATACAAAGAGCAAAGTAAATGAAGCATTACCTTGGCAGGTCCTTTCGTCTGTGAGCAGTTTGTAGCCTTTCTGGCAGCTGCACTCGAAGCTGCCAACTGTGTTTCTGCAGAAATGGTCACAGCCCCCGTTGTTCACCAAGCACTCATCGATATCTGCCAAGAATGAACAGCAAAAATTCAGCTCTCAACAGCAATCCAGGGCAGGAGTACAGGAATTTACTCAGATCCCCAAAGAGGCTGTCCCTGTTAGGAACCAGGCTGGTCAGATGTGTCCCTTCCCAAACCTGTCTCACAAGGCTCACAGGAGAGCCACGAGCTGAGTTGTTCAGGAGACACAGGTATGTCCCCCAGAGCTGAAACTCAACAAAGTTGAGGTATTTTGATGTTAAGGAGCATTCAGAGAAGCTCCTCTGCAGATGGAGTGGGTCTGCCTGACAGAAGACTTCAACCTGTGTAAGATGTGAGTCCTGTACTTTGTACAGGAACCCAGAACAAAGGGAAAAAACTGAAATAATAACAAACACAAAATAAGCCATATTTGAATTCTGAAAAAATGTAAGGATCTTTTCAGAATTAGCATTATGTGCTAGTTTGTCCATTATTGAGTGACACCCATTTTCGTGTGTCTAACTTTTCTCACTTGGTATAACAGAAGAGCAACTAACATGTCAAATGTTGCTTCTGAAGGCAGAGCACCTACTGCCTTTATTTGAAAGCCACATATATATATATAAATATACATATATTTATATGCATATACAAATATACATATATACATACATATATATATATACATATATTTATATGTATGAAGGACAGGATCAATGGCTCTGACTTTAAATAATGATTATGAAGTGCACTGATGACCTTGAAAAGACCTTTGTTCTTAATTTCATACGGGCAATTCTACTTCTTGCACCTTTTAACTTCTCCCAAAGGTGATGAAGAACTGGAATGACCAGTCCCTTTTCCAACCCATAAAAGGTTGTGCAGTAAGTATATGAGAGGCCACAAAACCTCATTTGAAATACAGAGCATCTTTCCAATCACAAAGCCATGGATCCATGTTTATTTGAAAAAGAAAAAAGGTACTCTTATTTTTTTTTTTTCAAGAGAAGAATAGTGCCAAAAAATAGATCTTTTGATGAATGCATACAGTTAAGAAGTAACAAGACATCAAGCCTTGGCTGCCCACTTCTGGAAGTGAAAACAAGATGTGGAGAGTGATGTTTCCTCTCGAAAAGCCTCTTGCTGTAAGAGCTTTGAAATTTTCAGGTAACAGCTGGCCGTCTAAAAAGCCAATCTTGCAAAGTGCAAATCTAGATGCCAAAAGATCCAATGTGTGGAGGTGGAAATTTATCAAAACCAGCATGATGATGGTGAATGAAGGGCATGTTTTAAAAATTATTTGAATTCAGGGCGACTCTCAGTGGAAGTCATTAGTTAATTATTGGAAACACATGATTACCAACAAGGGAGAGTGGCATGGCTCTTATCACCTCTCTGCATGTAAAATATAAACAGCAGCAAGAGGAGTGGGGTGGTAAGCCTGAAAATTCTAACAGCAAATCCAGAGAGGCAAATTCAGCCCACGTTTCTGAAGAGCCCTTTGCTGCACACACATTGACACAAATATGCTCAGCACTCAGATAAGCAAGAACAATTGTATGTTGTTATAAAGGTTTTCTTACAAGTTGCATTTGTGGCAAAGAGGAAATTTGCTCTGAGACCCTCTGAACTGATACTGCTGCTTATTACTTTTGTGTCTGCTTGTGCAGAGGAGAGGTTTTGGCATTGAATCCTGTTAAAAGAATGAGCATAAATTGTAGGCAGCAGCTGTGGGGATATCACACCCTGAGAGCTTTGCACAAGCCTGCCCAAATCTTTATGTCTCAGGCAACAAAGTTCTCAAAGCGATCAGACATCAGGAGTCACGTTTGTTGTCTGTGGTCCTCCAGCTTTGGGGATTTGGCCAGCCAAGAACAGACAGCCCTGGGCTCCCAACCTGATACATCTGCAAAGAACAGGCTGAGGGTGTCTCTACATAATCCTGGGAGACTGGAGGCAGAAACCCACTTGTTTTCAGCTGTGATCACCTGCAGAGCTCAAGATCAGCAGTGAAAAAGCACTGAAAACAGGACTTTTTGGCCCAATTCCTGCACGTTGGCATTTCCACTTGTAGGAGTGATTTGATAGGAGCTCCAGCTTGTGCAGTTTGGGACAGTGTTGAGGGTCTTATGATGGATTACCACAAAAGGTCCCATCCTTTTGCACAGCACAGGTGTAACCTAACCACAGTTTAGCTTGCCCTGACAAAACTGTTGGACAAATGGAATTGTGAATTAAAATTACTAATATGTTATGCATCATATGCACACAGAGCAGTCATCCATCATGAAGAAGATATCTTTTACCCTGTGATAAGAACAACATGACCTTTGGGCTACTCTGCTGCCTGAGCCTGCTTGAAGCAGAAATTACTTGCAGCCTGTCAAACATCATTCTGGAGTAACGATTGATGTTTTAAATGATGGCCCCTGCATTTCACATGTTGAATTCCAAATTCCAGTCTCACTGACTTTCTTTTCAGGGTCTCTGAAGACCAGAAGGGGCAAAAATGAAACCCTGCTGGCATGAGAGGGTAGATTTTAGGCTGCTAACAATTGTAATTCCACCGACAATGCAGCATATCAATTCTACACCAGCAAGTCTTCGGAGTAATTCAGAACCAGGACCTGGGTAAAACCTGGGAGAGTCCACAGGAAAAGAAAGTATTTATACATTTCTTCTAACTGGAAAACATGACGTGACCTTTTGAAACCAGGACCATCAAAACAGAATAGAGGTCAGAACTGTTAGCTGCAAAAACATTCTAAATAACATAAACAGTGCCAACGTCTCTGCTTTCACTGTATTTCTTTCCACGACCATAGCGAGACTGACAAGGCATGTAAAAATTATTTCACTCTGTGGAGAGCAGTGCATGGCTGCATTTCACTTGGAAGAGAGCAGTATCATGTCTAACTGGTTCACAGGAATTGCACCACGTCTATATCCCCACTATTTTTCTTTCCACAGCTATAAATAATTCGGGTTATGAGCCATGTGAAAATAAATGATTCCACTGCGTGAGAAGGTGAGGCCCCATTCATCTTTAAACTCACTGGTACCCAACTTTGTCAAGTGCCTCTCTGAACTTCACGGAGAGCAAAGCATGTCTGCCTGTCCTGCAGGGAGAAAAAACACAGTGGAAACCCACTGTGGTATCTCTACCAACTCTGACATTATTTTAGTCAACTATCGCCATACTATTATTGGGACTGGAGAGGAGTCATAAACCTGGAGTCTCCCAACACAGTTCTCAAGTGGCTCCCTTTCAACTGATGATCCAGGTTGCAGAAGAATGGCTCCAACTTCCCACAGTGTTCCTCTGCTTCCCTTTATCCTCAGGAATGCAAAAGAACATAAAGAACTGTATTTCTCCATGGGGGCTGTGCACAAAATGTCCTGATGTTCAATGATCAGACACTGTGTGGATCATGTCAGACCAGGACGTCTGATGGGCTTTCATCTGGCAACGAAATCCCACAGGATTTCTCCTGTGAATATTGTTAAATGATACCTTGCTCACAACAAGCTCTTGATCTGCTGCAAACACCAACTGATGCAGCCAGCACAAATGTCCATATTCTTCTGGACAGCTGATTTCAGCGGAATGGAAGGGGCAGTGATTTCAGAAGGATGAAGGAGGGCTGAACAAAATACTTACAAAGCAATTGATGATCCTGAAGTTTTCTGAGGATCTCAAAATACGAGGGAGGCAGCGGAATCAGCTTTAAATAGAACTTTTCAGCTTTAAATAAAGGCACAGGAACTCAGATGCTCTGTGATAAGCTGCACAGTCACGATTTGACTCGGGTTAACAGGCAGACCATTATTTTTCTTTTCATGACCTCGTGAAGATTAATGGGAATGGCTGCTCCTTTTCCACTTAAAGCTCTGCTCAGTGTAATTCATATTTGGAAGGACCTGGTTCTGATCAGGGTGCATTTATGCACTCGTGTGTGCATATGAACTCCCAAAGATTTGCCTTGCTGAATACAAGTCAGGGAACAAATTAAAAACTAGGGATTTCGGGTGACTTGGAACTTTCACATAAGCTGCTTAAAGGCAACTGAAAGGGTAATCAACATGCAATCTTCACTTAGCTCTTGAACAATGATGGATATGGAGATTTCCAAAGCCTCATCACAGCCGGAAGTGAGGATTCTCCTTTCAATGGCTGGACAAATATTTGAACTGATTGTGTCTGTCTAATCCTTTGCAGATTTAAAATGCTACCCAGCTCCAGGAAAATCATATACTCCCAGATCAGCCTGAAATAATTACAGAAACTTCATAACCTTCTTGTTTTTAATAATGACATGTTAGGGCTAATAATGCTATTACCAGTACTCAGCACATATTAATATAAATGTATTTTCTGCGAGTTGTTCTTATTCCCTGATTTCACAATCTTCCTTTGCTTTTCTTTCCTTCTCTTTTCTCATGCTTTTACAAATCACCACTGTCCCCTAAACCTCCTAACTAGTGTTGCCCTGTTGACACAGATATAAGTTCCCTGATGCACACAGACCACAAAGTACTTCATAAAGCAGCCACAAAACTTTTTAACCCCGTGTCAGAGGCGGGGAAATAGAGGAACAGAAAAACAAACTAACTCATCCACACTTGAATCCAAGCCCAGTGCACAACTCAACGGGCTCCCTTGGTGTTGGCAATCAGCACTGGCTTCCACAAAACACATGTTGTTCCACCTTTCAAATATTACAGAGCCCCCAATGCTCAGACTGCAATTGTTTTGATATCTGCCTGTCACTTTGTAATAAAACTTGAAAGGCATTAACTCGGGATTAAGGTGGGCATAAGATATCAGGCTACACTTGCAATACTCAAAATGTTCCGTAGCATCTTAAATAATGCACACCAGGGATATCTTGTTAAGGTAGAAAGATAATTTCATATCCTCAGACTCACTGGATTCGGTGCCACTGTGAGAAAATCTAAATCAAAGCAGAACACGGGTTCTGCTGTTCCCTCCAGAAAACATCCAGCCAGCTGTTGTGGGGTTTATTTACATGGAGTTAGTCCTA